CTATAAATTTTCAACTTCTTAATCCAATTTTTTGGTACTTTTTTAATTTTTTGAGTATGCAGTTTTGTAGCCCATCAAATTTTAGTATAGAAAATGGAAGTTTAAATTATTCAAAAAGTATTTTCGAAAATGTTGTTTGTATAGAAGAAACTGCGTGAAAAATATTGTCAAAAATCAACGGTGCCAATACCTTTTCGGCCAGTGTACATATTTGTGTTGTTAATTGTTTTAAGTCTGTTCGTAAATGAAATTTTTTAAATGGCATATCCTTTTCGTCATTTCCACGCCAAGTGAAAACTCGGCATAAGAAAAATCTAAACGCTTTCAGCATGTAAGAAAAACTCTTACATGGATTTCGCAACAAATATCTTATGGCGGATTTCCACATGCAAATCAATGGCAAAAGCTTTAATGGAAGATTTGCATTAAATAATATTCGTGTCTTTCCTTTTTGCCTGATGAAAATTCGTCATTATATAGATTTCACAAAAACCTAACGGCCAATTTCCTCTAGACATTGAAATTACAAAAATTCTACTAACTAAATTGAGCGTTAAATAATAAAAACTCTTGACATTTTTTAAATTACACAAATTTTTCGGCGTTTCAATGTCTAGTGCAATTTCAGCATTAAAGCTTTCGCTATGTAAAAAATAAACTTATACAGTATTTCCACAAAGCAATGAGGTAATAAAAATTGTATTTACAATGTTTGGGGATAAAAAACTTTTCTTATTAGAAAATTAAAGAATTGTTTTGCCATTTTGAAAATCTCACTGGATTTTCTTGGTAAAGTAAAGTTTTTGGGATAATGTAAATTTACCATAAAAATAAGAAAAACTTAATTAATACCATTTATTACTTCTTGTGTTCCAAAATACGTAATAGTTTGGATTTAAAATCTTTAGGATAGTTTAAAAGAGATCCTGAACGAAATTTCCGGGTATAACATTTATGAAGCAGTTATTCGGCTCAGTCAATGCTTCCAAAAGAGGAAGTAGTTACCGGTAATAATTCGATTTTTCATATTTCTGACGCCATCATCTTAAAAAACTATACTTTATTCATGGTATAGTTAGTGGCAATCCGGCATTAGTGTAGTAATGTTTCCGATATATACACATTCATACATGGTAGATATGGGTACATTAGATTGTGTAAACAAATAGCTTCGTGGGTCTAATTTGAGCATTCACAAGTTCACAAATTAAATTTAGTAATGTGGTTACTTTTCATCATTTAAGATAAACTTGTAGGTTATAATCATCATTAATGCAAAAGGAGCTGTTCGACAGATAAAAAAAAATCAAGTCTTACAAATTCCAGCCTTATTGACACTTTAGATCGGCTATAATCATTCCTATGCAAATTTAAGCAGTTTTTTGCTCCCCTAAATTTTCAAATCTGTTCAACAGCGCTTTTTACATTAATGAAAACAATATTTATTTGTGGTAAAGCTTTTAAACGCTCAGTTACAGTTGTATAACCTATTTCCTCCTAAAACCAGATATATATGTACATTTTTATATATTTATACATAAGTGTGGTAAATTTTTCGTAATTAATTGCGCTTTTAGACCCCTAAATCTGTTAACATATCGAGCCCTAACCGGCAAAAGGATGTATGAGACATTTTTTTCAAAATTTCTTTTATGCAGAAATTTTCCTAAAGCATCTAGATCACTGATGTTCAAAACAGCGCCAGCGGGCGGAAGTCTTCAAAGCTCTCTGTAGAGTAAAAGCTTTCTCTGGGCATCACTGATCTAGATCAGCGATGGAAAGAGAGAGCTTTTACTCTGCACGCGAATACATAAAATGTATAGAAAGCTTATAAAGAGTTTTGCCCGCGGGCAAGACGGTACCCATCACTGATCTAGATGCATTTCTGTATCAAAAATAGAATGTTGAAAAAATGTCGCTTACATCTTTTTGGCGGTTAGGGCTCGATATTATTTAAACTTTGAACCGTTCCAAGTATGTATATAAACTTGGAGCTTTCACAATACAGCATAAAGTTTAGTATACAAGTTTTGTCCGTCACTTTCATAAGCGAAATATGCAAACATATATACATACATACATTCATATAATGAAAGACATTCTTTGAGTTACCCAATTGAGAGTATGATATTCTTTTTCAGTCTTTTGTTGTGTCTAGGAGATTTTGGAGGGTTCAAGCTTTAACTAAGAAATCTCTTTATATCAACATTACTTAAGAAAAAAATATAAGCTTCATATCAAAGTTGAGAGCTTTTACCAACTGCATATAAACTTTATTGGAAATGCTAGGGCATTCGAAAGAAGAGAACTTACAGGGAAATTGTACCAAAAAAGTCTTTTGTAAGACAAGTGAAAGGCAGAAGGCAAGATAGTTTGAAAGAATTCGTTACACGCGATCTCGCGATGTGCACATATAATTTTCTCGAGAGATCCGAGGTTGGAGTCCTCGGCAGCGAATTTTTTCCCGTTTTTGTAATTAAATTTATATTATTTTTTAATTTTTTTTTTAATTTAATTTTCGTTTAATTTTTAGGTTTCATTGTTTTAAAATTAAATTTTTTTTAGTACCACAATTGTTTATTAGGAAAAATTTGAAAAGCAACAAAGTCTAAGCGGTAGAAGTTATAGCAGCTATTTCGGAGATCACATCTCTTCATCAGACAAAAAAAAATAAAGTAATAAAAAAAATAAAATTTTAATGAGCCACAATAACATTAAAAAATAATTAAATTTTTTTCTTATTTTTAAATTTATTAATTTAGAGAAAAATCCAGGATTTTATTTTATTTTTAAAGAAAAAAGTATATTTTTTGAATTTCATTTAACTTTCGGAAACTTACTTTTTTCATTTTTTAATTACATTACATTTTTTATTTTTTTTTTTTATTTAATTCTGGTAAATTTTTTAGATTATACCGGTTATTTAAAATGAAAAATATATATTTTTTTTCATTTACTTTTTGAAGATATTTTTTATCAATTAGTCAATAAGAAAATTTTAAAATATCTTTACACCTGACACCCTAGCAGACTATTGCAAGTACCGCAAATAAACGAGTTCTGTATTTTAATAAAGTTTGCACTAAAATAAAGTAAATTCTCTGAAAAAAAGATACAGATTTTCTAAAATTGTTGAATAGGAGGGTTCTTGTCTTTTTATCTACACACATGCATACATTCAAAGCGTTAGATATTTACTTTCTACAACTCAAGCATACATACATACATACTATGTACATACATATATGCAGAAATGCCGTAGACCTATTTCGATAAAATTACTGAGATGTCATAAGGTGGCCCTTATTTTGTTCTACGTGCAAAATGAAGATATCCACGAAAACTTTAAAATCTTAAATACATTTAAAATTAAAAATTATTATTATTTTCTGAATCGCGTAGATTCGAAAAAAATTGCTTTAAATTGGATAAGATTGACATATTATTAAATCTTATTTAAATAAATTCATAATATCCCTAAATTATAGCTGGTAAAGTCAAAATTTTTTCGAAAATAAATATTTTTTAACCCCAGCAGCGGCCACTAATTTATTTTATTTTTTTTTAATTTTCGTGGATGGCTTTATTTTGTACGTAGAAAGAAATAAAGGTGTATCCCATGATGTTGATATTTTTAAGGATCACCCTAATATGTGCATATGTATTTCAAAAACAATATAAAAGTTATGTAGGGGTTTTTTGCCACTTTATATCAATAGAGAATTTAGTTTCGATTTTAATTGTTTAAACTTAAAAAATTAATATCATAGAACTATCAGTATATATTTATCTTTATTTAAAATAACTTATAAACAGAATTCTACAGCATTTGTAAATATAAACTTTAAATTTCTAGGCATTCCTCTGCTCCAAGAAGACAGTCCAGTACATCAGGCCGGAGTGTTTGCTATGCAATAGAGCGTGCAAACAGGTTAACTGTAACAACAACAACATACTTATACCATACTCACTTCACTAACTCAATTCAAAAAGAAACCAAGAAAAAAATATAAAAAAGTATTTCACTTTCAGCCCACTAAAAAAAATAAATAAGTTACACTACCCGCAAATTGCGCTTGCCTGCAAAAAACGACATCTTTTGCTAAAAAAAAATATCGAAAAAAACAAAAAAAAATCAACAAACAGTAATCAAGTGTTGCTGCAAGCAGATTTCCAAAAAACGCTCGAAAGCAAATAACCTCTAATTAAAATAAATATTTATTCGCACTTCTTAGCTGAGAAAAAGCCGAATAGAGCAGTTCGGCCAACACGAAAATCTTTTTCAAATTATTCATTCAGACAATATTAGATTTACGCATGTAATTTAAACGATTTTTATTAACAACTTAAGTCATTGTTTGTGAACCCAGAAAAAATACTTGCTTTAAGTTTTTGAAATTCAAAAAGAGAAAAACAAACTGTGTATTCACTCGAATTTTAAGGCAAGACAAAGTTTTTATACATTTTAAGGCTAAAACTTATTGTAAATTTGTTAAAACACAAAACCTCTATCCAAGCGCTTATTGCACTAATTTCGTACAAACGGGCACTCAGACACACACACACACACAAAAATATTTCAAGAGTAATTCACCTAAAGTCACAAATACACACACACACACAGACATATATAAGCACACAAACTCACTTGTTATGGAAAGTCAAACGGTTTGGAGGGATGCGTGATCAACAAAATATTCAAGAAAATTTTGGTACAAAAAAAAAATGTAAAAAAATTTTAAATTAAATGAAGAGAATCTAAATACCACTTGTAAACGAACACTAAATGTAGCAAAGGAAACTAGCACAGCAAACAGACTAGGACAACAACAGAAAATAGATGACCAAAATTATGTAGCACACAAAAAAAAATATTAGTTAAAATAGCATACAGATAGATAAATATGGAAAGTATTTAGCGAATAGCAGAAGAAGAAAATAATTTAAGAAAAAAACTTACAGAATTATTAAAAAGATAAAGGAAAGGAAAAAAAAGTAAAATAGTATTAAAATCAACAAATCACTGATGTAATAAACAACAAACCATGGGCTTATAAACCAATCGAAAACTTACATACACATATAACAAACCACACCAAAACAAACTCAAAATACATACAAATACAAAGACCGTTAGCTTTAACGCTCGAACAATCGAATAGAGTATTCCAATACAAACACAATCGAACAATAAGAGTAGTGAAAGCACGAAACGTCTAGGCTCTCGAGCAAGCCAACGATTACGAGTAATACCAGCAGCAGCAGCGAACGGGCCCCAAATTGGCAACATGAAGAAAAGCTCAACAGCTACGACGACAATGTCGTTCCCAACCAGTCCGACCATTTCGGCGCATACTATCACCGGCAGTAAAATTAGTTTGGGCAGCACAAAGACAGCGACTTCGGGTCGTTCTAGTCGCACGGGTTTGCAATCGCCACAGCGAAAGAAGAGCGATCTAGAATTGGAGTCTATATTGGAGAAGGCTAAATTTTACACATCGCTGTGCCTTGGTGAGTGTAGTGTGTTAATGAAGCTTTTTGATTTATGGAAATATGCAGTGGCGGGGAAATAAATAGGGGCGCTAAAGTTTAACAAATTTCGGCTATTTTTATTTTGCTAATTCAAAGTTTATTATGGCTAACAAAAACTATATAAGCCCGAATTTAAAACTTTGTACAAAAACTAGGAAAATTCGACAAAAGTTTATAGAAAATACTTCAAACTTTTTAATCAGAATTTTTAGAAAAAATTTTGGCATGCAGTTTTGTAGCTCATAAAATAAAAAACCAAGTGTGAAGCAGCTAGCATTTAGCGTTTTTTTTTTTAAGACATTTTCTTGCACGCAAAGTATGTTCGACAATATTTTTATATGTATGGAGAAAAATGCACAACACTGTCCGCATAAAAAATTGCCAAAATGCAACGGTAATTCCTAGCTACTTCAAACTTGCACTTTATTATACTAAAATTTATCCCGCTACAAAACTGCATGCCTAGAATTCTTTAAATTCTAAATAAAAGGTTTGAAATTTTTATCAACATTCGTCGAATTTTTATAAATCTTGAACAAATTTTTGAAACGTTTCAAAGTTTGACTTACATGGTTTTTTTTAGATAAAGAGCTATATTTTTATAAAAAAAAAAATTATAAAGATCAAATAAACAAAAGAAAAACAACCAAAACTTGTTCAAATATCGCGTCCCTATTTATTTCCCCGCCGTATGTTTAACATATTAACTTTAATTTTTATTTCTAGGAACCACTGCAATTCTCTCGGTCTTTGCCTTCCTCTTCCTCATACCATTCGTTGTGGATCCGGCAATTTCGACAATAATCGCAGATTATGATCCTGTGCCAGTTACTTGTATTGTCATTGATCATATCTATGCGGAAGGCATTCGAAACTGTTCGTGGAGTTCATGCCGCGAAGGCTGTACGTCATCACTCACCAAGTAAGTTTTCAAGGGAGAAAAAGTGGAAACTAGAAACCTAAGCAAGATTTGGTAGAAAACTATTAAAAGTCTAATTAAAATAGTGACAATTTTTTGTAAATTTAAGAGATACAAATCGTATTTTAACCTATTTTAAAATGTAAATGAGTTGAGCACATAAAAGTGTTTAGTCGCGAAATCTATTTGGTTAGATCATATATGTATTACAATTTTAATTTACTATTAGAACTGACCGAAGGGGAAAAAATCATTTTTCACTTAAATATTTGGAGAAACTGAAAGTCTCATTAAATAGCCTTTCGTGAAATTTATTTATTTTTTTATTTCATATTAGAGCTGACAGAAAGGAAAAAAATCATTTTTCATTTAAATTGCTGTTGTAACCGACAAAAGGTCCCATTCAATTACCTCTCCAGTTGTGATATTTCATAAGCTAACTTTGGCAGTCAACGTTATTGTAGCTTTTTAGAAAGGTGGCAACCCCATTCCAAAATTTCCTTAAAGCTTTTCCAAATTTTCCTATTTAAATGCCTTTCAATAATTTCAAAAATTCTGTTAGGTGGCAACCCTATTATTTTTAATTAGTGTTATAATCTATATCTTATTCCCCAAAGTATTAGCGGCATACTGTGAACTTTCGTCAAAATCCGACCTAGTAGATTTTGCCTGAAAGCGTTACAAACATCCAAACAAACTTTCACATTTATAATATTAGTTAAACTTATTTTTTCACAATATTTCATTGACCTTTCAGGTGCCATCAGTTGTATGTCAACTATACACGCATCCCCTTCAGTGAATGGGAGAAAAATCCACGTGAATTGGATAAGGTGCAATGGGATGTTAGCTATACGAAATTTCTGATCAATTCCGAAGGCTGCGGTTATCCACCCACAACGAATTGTAGTGTCTTTGCGCGCCAATATGGGTAAGAAGAGTGAGAAAATTGTTTGTTGTTTGTTATACATAACTCTATCATACTATGTATTTATTTACCTACATACATACGTAGTATATTATTCTCACACTGACCATCTCATATTCAACTCTCTTTATGCTGCAGCTACTCACACATTGGCGAACCATTTCCCTGCTACTATAGTCGTGCCTACCCGGAAGTGGTGATCGGTCGCTACTCGTGGGAGAATAATTTGTATCATCTTATTTTGTCAATCATCATACCAAATGTGCTATTCGCCATTTCGATTGGTGTGCTAAGCTATTGGTATTGTCCCTGCTGCGACAAGGCTTGCAACAAGTCTTCGCGCGTCTATGCGGAGAAGTTTCCCTCGAAGGAAGAGTGAGTTATCAAAAACACACATGATTTTACCTTGATTAAAATTAACTACCACTACTACGATATCATACACATACATATGTACTTACAACTTACTTATGCTCGTTTTACATGAAGGCATTATCGTTTAATACATACATACATGTTGAGATGTTGTAATGGGCCTTAACTACTTACTATTTATATAAAATTAACAAAAAAAAAAACTGTTGTCATTTATACTACATATATCCAAAATGTACCTGCATCTAGAACCTGCGTGATTTGGAATGTTTTTCAAAATTTGTTATTGCATCCGTAAATTAATAGATAGCATAAATACATATTTATTTAGTATGTTATATATTTTCATGTGTAGTAATAAATATATACATTCGTACTACTTGTAGAAAATTCGATTGTACTATTATTGATCGTCATATCTTTTTCATAATAAATAATTTAATATTTTATACATACGTTGTTAGCAAACAAATGTCAAGTCATGATATAAATAAGTAGATATTTTAAGTTTACCGTACAAGAAAAACAGCATGTTATTTAGATTTAAAAACATACATACATACATAAATCACCGATTTAATTTGACCTTAGTTTCATGTAAACGCTTAAAGGAAAAAAATTGACATACATTTTTGGTAGCCTAAGAAACTTGAAACTGGACATACATAAGGGATTAAATTTCTAGTCATTCAAAAACAGAAAATAAATTTTTTGTCTAGTAAAAACTGGACATAATTTTGGTTAATAAAAGAAGGGCATACATTCTTGGTAATTAAAAAACAAGGCATAGATTTTTGGTGATTTGAAAATTTGACATAATTTTTGGCAGATAAAAAACAGGACATACATTTTTATTGAATTAAAGACTCGTCTCTAGACATAAATTTTTAATTACCATAAAATGGACATCATCATTCACCTTTTTGGAAATTTAAAAACTGACCACAAATTCTTGTTAATTTGAGAATTGAACATAATTTTTGGCCAATCGATTTTTAGGTATTTAAAAACTGGGCATATCTTTTGGTTACTTAATATATTCACACAAATTTTTGGTTTTTCAAAAACAAGACATACAGTTTTGTTATATAAAAATTAAAACATTCATTTTTGATCATTTAAAATATGCTCTTTTTACTATTAAGAACTGGAATTTTTCGTCACTTAAAACCAGGGTATACATTTTTGGTAATCTAAAAAAACTGCACATAAGCTGTTGAAAATTCTGAAACCGGACATAAATTTTGGTTATTTTAAACATAAATTTCGGGTCCAATAAAAACTGAATCTCTGTTTTTGACTATTGAGAAACTTGACATAAACTTTCGGTCATACAAATTTTTGTCCTTTAAAATTGGTTAAAGGAAAACAGAACACAAATTTTTGGTAACTCAAAACCCAGTTATGTATGTCCAATTTTTAAACAACCCCAAAGCTAATTTAAGTAATTAAACATTTATTCCAGACTTTAAATTGCAATAATTCATTTTCAGTTTTCGAAAAAAAAAATATGTCGAATTTTTATGTCCAACATTTTTTTGTTCCAATGTCTATATTTTGAATTTCTAAATTTTTTACCACTGTGTAAATATTGGAAAATAGAACACAAATTTGTGTTAAAACACAAGCTATTTGCATTTTTAAACAAACCCAAAAACTAATTTCAATTAGATACTGAAAATTGTTTCGAGATTTTAAATTGCAACCATTTTGTACAAGTTTATAAAATGCAAGAATTCATGTTCAGTTTTGAAATAAATTAAAAAAAAAATCCACTTTTTAGGTCCACAAATTTATGCAAATAAATATGTGCAGTTTTTAAATATCCAAACTTTTTGTCAACTTTTCCTACTAATTCATGAATCTATGTCTTACGTTAAAAAAATGATTTAAATATTTATGTCAAAAATATTGCAACCAGTTTTTAAATTAAAAAAATTGTGTTTTAAATTACCAAAAGCTTATGTCCAATTATAAAATTTTCAAAAATTTGCCTTGAGTTTTTAGATCCTTTAGAAATTAAATCGCAATAATGTATGCCAAATTTTCAAATGAACAAGGAAATATGTTCAGTTTTTATGTCCACAAATTTTTGTCGGATTTTTGATTTACCAAAATATCAGATATGATAAGTTTTTAAATGTCCAAAAATTTATATACATTTAGTGTTTAAATTACTAAATGCTTTTATGTCCAGTTTGGAAATGGCCAAAAATTCATGTCCACTTTTTAATATAAATTTTGTACTCTCCTAAATACTGAATAACTTTAACTTTCAGTTTTGTTTACTTTGCATGCTCCGCTATATACTCCTTTTAAACGTCTTTATTGGAAAATGTAATTGGCGTTGGTTGTTATTGCTTTGTATCATCAAAATTTAGGAAACCAAAAATGCATAACTTTTATTTTCATTTTTTTTTTGCTATTATTTCCTACCGCCTTACAAATTCTTTTCCCTCATATGAAGTAAATAATATTTAGTAGTATTGCCATTTATTTAAGTATGCCTTTTGAAAAACAAAAATAAAACCCAAAAAAAAGAAACTACTAAAATCAACATTTACAATTACTAACGAATTTTTACAGGATTGTTAACTGCATGAATTGCAAACCGGAGAAAACGTTATCCCTCAGTAATTTTTAAGCGTAAATTATGCAAGTGCCTGTTTGAAACCGTTTGAAGTAAATTTAAAAATAAAGTTATTAATCCAAAATAGAAACGAAAACTTAAGAGAATAGTGATATGCTACTTTACAAGTGAGATTTAATGCAGCTGAAATACCTACTAGTTATTAGTTAGTAATTAAATAACTTTTTGTGCACCTTCTTTTATCCTCTAATAAATTGTTAGTTATCTCTCTCATAAAAAAAAATAGTTGTTGGAATTTAGTGTTGTTTGAATGGCACTTAAAGTAGAGCACACAGTTTTCCCTATTGATATTTGAAATATATAAAAATAAAACGGCTAATGGTGGCTAATGATTTTTACCGATGACTTTTATAAATAAAACTCATCAATAACTGTTATCTAAGACATATAATATAAAAATCAAAAATAACTGTTATTTTCAGACTTTTTAGATAAAAATCAAAAATAATTGATGATTTATTTCGGCATTGCGCCATCTTCAGTGTCATTATTCGTTCAAAATAATTGTTATTATTCGCTTCAAAAATAATTGTTATTATGGATTTATAAAATAAAAATAAAAAATAATTTTTTTTTTTAATTTTACATAAAAACTGCAAATAAAAATTTATTTTCAAGCTTGGTTCTAGGTGAAAAAAGAAATCAACTGGTATGCACTACCAGTTAGTTAGTCGTAGAACAGTTTTCATCAATAACTGTTATGTTCGGACCCTGGTAGAGGGTATTCACATTGGGAAAGTCTGCCTCCGAATCGAAATTTTTTTCAAAATTTTATTTTTGATACAGAAGTGCTCCTAGGGCATCTAGATGCATTTCTGCATCAATTAGAGAATTAAAAAAAAAAATCGTTTAAATTTTCTTGGCTATTAAAGCCGATATAAACGGCAGTTAATTTCGAAAATTTAATAACATGCAAGTTTTACTCTCGCACAAAATAATCGTTTATTTTAGATTTTACCCGCAAGAATTTTTATTTATTTATCTTTCTTTTATTTGCAGTAAGCAATTTACTATTATTACTTTTAGTAACTTAATTCCAGAAATTTGTTTGCCACGTACATACCTACGTAGTAGTTAGTTGAGTAGCAGTTGATTGATTTTGCATGCATTAGTCTAGTCTACACTCCGATTACTCCAGCAATTTAAAATACCCACATTGAACACATGATCAGCATGATATTTTTGTAGTGAAAGTTGAAGAATTTTGCACACAATTCACCAAAAAAAAAAACAACACCATACATTTCAATTAAAAGTCCAACAAAGCTTTTAAGAACACATGCTATTTCAATTATTATAAAATTTCTGTTGTAGAAAACTTCTGTGTCAAAGTGACGACGAAGATGATATGGAATACTAGTGAACTAGAAAATCTAGTGTTATGCTAGAAGAAGAAGAAGAAGAAGAAGAAGAAGAAGAACTCCTCGTAGCATTAGCAAACAGCTGCTCTCACAACAAATACAATACATACAATGAAAACAATTTTAGAAAATTTAGAAAATCGATAAACACATTTTGTATTCCTATTCGTATTCGTATTTGTAGTCATTCGTATTCAATAGTTAAATGCCAACATATATTTACGCTCAGATTCGTAGATAGTGCATACATACATACAAATAAATGTACAGAAAAGTAAGTACAATATGTACTCGCATAGCATCATCTAAGTAGCTATTTATTCATATTCGTAAATGTACTCTATGCAGCGTATGTATGTTGGTATGCGAACAAATGATGTTCGTCTTCGCATTCGTATTCGTATTCATGTACTATATTCACCTAGCCACCAGTCTCAGTATTCGCAATCCGAAATATTTTCCCACTCCATATTTAGCGCTAAATACACACACAAACGCAATAGTATGTACATACGTATATGTGCTAACAATACAATAGTATAAATATAGCAGCTTATCACAAAAGGCCAATGCAGTATTTGCTACTAATTTCTTAAAGCTTTTAGTCGTCATAGTTATTTTCAAATTGCAAATGCACTTGAAGTAAAACTTGATATGCAATGCTATGTATAGCACGATATTATATGTAGTATATGAATAAATAAAATATGTAAGCTTTTTTGAATTTATATTATAATGATAATAATAATAATAAAAAAACAACCCTCAAATTGTATATGTATATGAATAGCCGCTAAGTAAATGTGTAGAATAAGAAAGTATACGTCGACAGCTTAGTTTTGAAAGTTAGCAAATAAAAACTTAATCGCATTGTTACTAAGTATTATTTAAGTAACATTAATTTAAAGCTTTTGCTCATACTGGCAATGAAAGTGAAAGCTTTGGAAGAAGTGATAATTCATATTAAAATTTTTTGAGAACTTCATTAACGAAGATATGCAAGTAAAAGCTTTGAATTAAGTGAAAGCTCTGGCTGAAGTGAAAGTTGCAAGCGTAAAAAAGTTTTGAACATATCTTATCAATCCAATGCAAGCAACAAAAAAATAAACTTTCACTCCCTAAACAAATCACTGTTATTAGCTTTTCTCATTTAACTTTCTTCGTATAAATATTTTCAAGTAAACCCCTTCGTTGAAGTAAAAGCAGCGAGTGAATGTAACAACTTTGATAGCAGCGAAAGCTGCAAAATTCACAACTTTTTAGAAAGCTTTTGCTTAGTAAGTATTATTAAACGCAAGTAAAGACGCTTAGAAAAGTGGAGGCTACAAATTCAAAAGTCCAGCTGAAATCTGTGTGCAAGCTTTTATACAAGCAATTGTTTAATCAGCAAGCGTTTGAAAAAAAATTGTTTTTATAAAGGTGTTAGCGTTTTCTAAAAATGGGTTAATCAGCAAGCACTTAAAAGAAGACATCATTTCTAGAATTCTTAGCAACTTTTCTAAAGCTTTAGCATCAGCAAGCGATTTATAAAGATCTGCTGCAATCGAAACTGGGTGAAAGCTCTGCGCATAAGTGAAAGCTTTTTTGTGAAAGTGAAAGCTTTGCACTTTTTTCACTCCCACTTTTGCAGCACATATAAGCAAGTCATTTTATTGCATTCATGCTGTTTATTTCAGATTCCTTCGCGTCTAAAATTTACAAAACTTCTCAAGCTTTTCACTACGATATGTACTCGTATGTTAAAAATTAATTGAAAAATGTTATTTATGTATTAATATACATTTATTAAAAAAATATTGTGATAATAGTCATAAAAAATTTTGTTCTCAGCGTGTTTTACTGTACCAAAAAAAAAAAAATTGTTTTGAAGTGTATGTATTGAAGTTGTATAATAGGGCAAAA